AAAGGCCCCAAACGCAAATATTCTACGTTAGAAGGGATCGATGTCAAATTTACTTGTTTTTCTTGGGACTTTGAAGGGCGTTTGTCCTCTTCAACTTACAATATACTTGACTTGGGGTTAAGCAGGTCTTCCGTTACGAAGAGCTCTATAAACTTTGAAAGGATATAAACTTTTGAGCGGTTATTTTAACCTAAAGGTCACGATTAAAATAAATATGATTCTTGCAAATATATCCATATTTCGTTATAAGTTGAGAATGTAAGACTAATTAAATAGAATTTAAAAAATGTTATAATTTAGTTAGAAAAACATAAACTAAACAATTTTTTTCATGAAAAAAAAAATAATTTTTTTGCCAGTAGGCCCTAAAATACTAAAACGGAACGTTTTCATGTCAAAATTATATACAAAAACTAGATGAAGTCGGCATTTCCTATCTGCCTACTTTGAGAAGAAATGCCGAAACAAACTCAGTGGTCAGTCTCTTTGAGAATAGTTTTGTACGATAGAGACCAAACGAGCAAACAGATCAACCAACCGACAACACTAGTGGAGTTATAAAGCTATTTATCTATGAATACCAAAATACCGTTATTCAATTTCTGAATTATTATTTTCTTAAATAACCAAACAATCCTACGACCTAGAAATTCTATAACAAAGGTCAACTACACCCTACATATGTTTTCAATATGAGCTATTGTACCTACACATAATGTTTGCGAATAATTCAAAGGGTTTGCGTGTGGTCTCTAAATGATATTGCGGGCCCGTGAGAGGAATAATATTATAGCTACGATCTTAGATATAAAGGGAATTAATATGTATGGATTTTTTGTCTTTGGTTCCGTAGGCATGATTATGAAGATAATGTATAAGACTGACCTCTAATGGCTTGTCTTTATAATATAAGTAAGTTGATTAAAAGGATCTAATCTTTAATATAAGTAGGTTAAATAAATGTATTTACTGGTATTGTACCATCGGGGCTCTGGATGAAACTGGTCTTTTTTTATGTTATAGGTCGGCAAACGAGCCAACGGATTACCTGATGGTAAGCAATCAGCGCCGCCTATGGACACCCCGCAACGGAGGAGTTACGAGTGCGTTGCCGACCTTTTAGGGATTAGGGATTTGGAGATTTAGGGATTGAGGAGGGATAAGGGGCGGGGAAGGATTTTACTTGTTGAAGGATGGTCTGTTGAAAGGATCTAGTCTTTCTTCTCAAAACTGTTTTATTTTCTTTTTTATGTGATAGAACGGAAAAGGAACTTTTTTTTTACTTGCAATAAACTAGTGTTTGACTGCGATCCCACCTGATGGTAAGCAGTGATGCAATCGTTGATGGTAAGGCGCACTAGTTTATTAAGAGCCTATTCACTCTAGCCTTGAAGACACCTAAATTGTATTCGGACGGAAAGACTGCAGCCGGCAAACTGTTCCAATCCCTTGATGTTCGCGGTATAAATGACGAGGCAAAACGCTTAGTCCGGGCCGCAGGTGTCTCAACAACGTAAGCGTGGATATTCGCCGCACGCCGGGATGTCCGAAGGTGAAATTGGGGTGGCGGAATCAAATCGTGGAACTGACGGGTTTCCAGCTGGAAAGAAGGTCGGCACGACTATGCATATCAGCAATACACGATCATTACAGTTACGAGCGCATTGTCGGCCTTCTGCATATTAGGGTTTTGGAGAATTAGGCATTAAGGGAGAAGAAGAAGGATTGGGCCACCGGTTAGCACCCTCACACAGCGAAACACAATGCTGTGATTGTTTTACGCCAGTTTTCTGTGTGGCCGTGGTGATACTCTGGTCGTGCCGATCCATTCGTCACAATCATATCTGAAGGAACTTTCAATTCTCGGAAAAAGAAGTTAGCTCAATTTAGATGAACAGTTGGCAGATTGTTAAATATCTCATTAATCGTAATAATTAAGGCTGCAGACACCACACATAAAGTTCAACTATTGAAAATTAATAATCAACATACATTGGGCGAGACGGAAATTGCGCTCCGGACCATGTGAGGTACAAAACATAGTACTTTGTATACATACGTACTATACGCATATATGTATATTATATATATACACGAACAAAGTAACTGTTCCCTGAGGCTTATTGAATCACAAACTTGTACAGCAAAACATTAAAGTTTACGGTACAACGCTGGGTTGCTTTCAGTAACATACGTAAGTACCGAGCTATGTAACGTAATGGATTGGAATACTATAATATTGGAGGCAAATGTGGAAACAGCAAAATAAAGTATATCAGGGTGTTTTTATTGGGAAAACCTCTGCAACTCCTGTAAGCCAGGATCTACAGTATAAAACCTTGAAAGCACCGAACACTTAAGTTGGCGAGTATCCTATTCTAAAGACTGGGTCTTTACATTTTTGGATACTCTGTAAATTTTTAGTGGGCCTTCTTTCTAGAACGTGGCATTTTATGCCACCGCAAAAACCTACGAGTAATTTGTGTGAACCACAAGTTGTTATTCCGAGTCCGGGTGTCGAAGTTTTCGTTTTACGGAGTAAGAGAAAATCCTAATGTTCTTTATAATTTTAAGAAAATACTTTCTAATCCCATTTGGATGTACTACTTCTTCCACTACCAGAACTATTTCTACATATCCAATTTAATCGCACACTATTAAGCGAAACGACCTTAAAACAAAACACGCAGTACATTGACCGATTAATTCAAGAGTAACCCCAGTCTTTTGACCTAGAACCGGCAATGGTCATTTATCTTATGAATCTAATCCTATAACCCACTTCCATGTTGTGATAACGACTATAGATGTAGTTAGGTTAATTGGCTTTTTATAGTTTTCTATGATTGGATGTTGTTTTCCAAAAAGCAGGAAAAAATATTTATTGGGTATGTATCGTAGAAGTTCGAAGACTTACCATATTTATTGATGTTTACGGAAGACGATAAAATAATATCAAAGAGAACTTACTTAGGTACGTGTATGGGAATAATGAGGGCAAGGACCTTATGCCAATTTCCTCTTTAAAGGATAGAGAAGGATAGATTGATTTTAGTTTTATTAGAAGTCATTTTCTATCTGCCAACACCTTTTGTACACTTATTAGTAGTATAAATGCGAAAGTTACGATGTTTTGATAAGCGGACTGTTAGTAAGTAGTAAAAAAATGCTAGTAGAATTTTGACATTGAACTAATTGCGATATGGACGACAAAATGTTGATTTAAAATGTTGTACGAATCTCTACAGTATTAAGGATAGCCATATCAATTATAGTTTTTGAGTATAACAAAAGGCTTGTCACTCAAGCCGCATTAGTATGCATGCAAGCCCATACAATATGCATCGCAGTAAATTAGGTCGCGGGTCGACGACACTGAAGTCAGTTCGTGAACTTTGCGACTGTAACGTGTAACTGAAGGGTTAAGAGAACATGACAGTTTTATTTCGAGAAAGGGTAGGCAGAGATTGAAGATATATGTAGTTATTTTTATAATACAAAAATGTAGAACGTCGTCATCAGCTCATAAGTACCCACTGTTGAGCAAAGGCCATTTCTCACACGGAGAAAGTTTGAAAAACGCCTGCTCAAGGGGGACTGGTTATTTCAAACTTAAAATTAGAAATTAAAATGCCAGGTTTTCTCACGAATTCACGATTTTTCTTACCGTTTGTCGGTGTTGTCTAAATACACTTTTTTTTTACATGGGACAAGTCCGCCGCAACCTCCCGGAACTGATAACTCTACAGTAGATACAATAAATTACAAGAAGAGAAGACTAGATTCCACAAGGAATGTAAAACAAATTTCCATCTAAGTAAATGCATTTAGAAAGTAAGTAGGTACATGTAAATCCGAAAAAGTCACATTAGTACTTGCTACTTCCTAGGTTTCGAACCGCACTCTCATGCATGAGAAGGCTCTCGAGCCACCACGACTCGACACTGTATTTATGACGGGACTATTAAAATCCCGAATTGGGAAAAGGTTAAAGAAAAGGTTAGGTAAAAATTATCGTATCAAGATGAATTAATTGATTCTGAGAATAGAATCCGGCCTCCGTGACCAGCACAATATTCATTCAGAAATCGGCGATGAAGAATAAAACAGTGAAAAAGTCTAGTTAAGTATTATTCGAATTCACTAGCTAAATGTAGATCGGATCGATAGCGCGCTAAAATTGGATCTTATTCGCGTGCTTTTTCCGTCATGTCCGTATGATAAGCGATGTCGGCCAAATCGGATAACTGCCATAACAAATATAATTTAGTCAATAAAATTTGCAGGACAAGCGTATTTTAGTATCTATATAAAGTGTGGGCAATCCATACTTTTATAAATGGGACGGCGCGACACCACGACCATTCAGAAAACTGTGTTTGTGGGTGAAGGATCAGTACCCATACTGCAAATCCTGAAATCCCTTGTCAATCGGCAGCGCATTCACGTGTTTCGAGTTACACCGATTGTTTACCATCAGGTAATCCGTCTGCTCGTTTGCCGACTTATCACATAAAATAGCGATTGCGGGAACAAGCGCAATAATGTTTCACGGCCCCAGCCAGGAACAGGCCCAAGTACCGGGATGGTTTTTAGTCAGTAATAGTCTGACATTCCCTGTTGCCTATCAACACCTACAATATTACAGAAGTAATAAGTGCGGTGTCGACGTTATAAAAGTGTTTCGCTTATTCCCTGAAGATTTTGACGCTTTGTTGGTTTCGGAAATATCGCCGGCGACAGTTCATTACATATTATACAATGAATCACCGAGGTATAACAAAATTATACATTTTGTTTGCTACTGTGTCTTTAATTCTTAAAAAAAAAAACGTGGCCTACTCTTTATTTGGTCCTGTGACGTGGGTCATCACAAACATAAAGAGTTGTTCCGTGCTGAAAACAAATCCGCGACAAAATGCGCGGGCGCCGATTGTCCAGCCAACTTAGGACTATACGTGTTACAGTGAAATTTTAAATTGTATAAATGTTCCACTGACCTTGGTCCCGGCAGCACGGTGTCGGCGGGCGCGTCATCAGCGTCATAGAAGTCATCCTCGCCTTCTGACGACGAGTAGGACGTGTCCGGTACCAGCAGGGACATCGCTTTTCAAGAGAATATTTCACATAAATATAAATAATTTATATTTAATATAAATAATTTATATTTATAGAAGTGTTATTTATATCCAGTGTAATATTTGTGCGAAAATTTTTGACACATAGCCCTAATTACGGATGGATTTTTACACTGAATCAATAACAAAATATCTAGGTTTGGTATAACTTGCCAACAACACATTTACTTCATACTACATCGTAATTGAAGCAATTTTGCAGTTGGTCACCCAAAACTGCTGCCAATCGAATGATTCTGGATTATTTCAATTTTTTTTTGTGTTAAACCCTCGACATCCAAAAATTACAAGAGCGAGTTTTAAAGCATTTTTCTGTCTCTCCACACACATTTTTTCGTTTGGTATATTTTGTACATACGATTATTTGCTGTTAAAACACAAAGACTGAAGATTCCGTCATTCATCGTATATTTAATAGTGTTTAAAGAACTGCAGATTATATAAAAATATACAATAACAAACTTACGAGGAGCCTCCAGGTGTTCGAGGGGCGGGAGGGGATGAGTGGGCGTGGCCAACTCGCGACACTCCGCGCCCAGTTCAACGCGCGGCGACAGTTCTGCGTCTGAGAGCAATGGTTACAGCTTACATACAGATTCAAATAAAAATTACCTTGTACTATAGCAAATTATTCATCATTAAGGTTACTTTTTCGTTGAATATTGAAAAAAATAAGAGGCGTTCGCCATAACGTCTCCACTTTAAAGGAGAAAGGAGATCTCATTTTTAAAAAAACAGGTTTATCCATGACTGGTGCCCAGCCTAGCTTATGCTATGCCCTTAGTCAGTTCTAGGAAGGTTAACGAAAGTTTTCAGATATTCGTGTTACAACTTTCTTTCTTACAACGGCTTACGATGTTTGATGGGGAACCCGACTAGTTTCAAACCACGCCAGCAGCTCACATTCGTAATCAGTATTGCGCGGCACACGATGCGATGAACGTCACGTAGCCAACAGGCATTCCGATTTGCCGTCAGCATTTTTTTCAGGCATTTAAGCTATCATGATCTTTATTTAAAAGTAGTTTCGGATTGAAAATGTTAAATTCTCTGACTGCCGACAAAAACTGAAGGCAAATTCCGTTAGCGTCAGTCAACATTGACCGCGTTGGCAGTTAATGGATTAATTTAGATAAGTAATAAGAAAAAATATCTAAATCAAAATACGTCTCTTTACTATAGGTCTTTATTGGACATAGTATGAGAAGACTTCGTTTAGACGCGGCAACTACGGCCCTGGCGTGGCTTGAAACTAATCAAGTCATCTTGTCGAGCAGTTACGTGATTAAATTATGATGATAGTTGTGTAGGTCGTGGTGGGCCAGAGCTTCGTTTGTATCTAGGCAAGTACCATAATTACTTATAAGTTAAATGTGTTTTCTAAGCGTACTTAGACACGAATGTTTGTGAGGAAACCTAAATTTAAAATGTCTAATTTTAAGTTTAAAATCACCACCTTAAGCAAGCGTGGTGAATAATGCTCAAACCTTCTCCATGTGAAAAGGACTTAGTTCAGCAGTGGGCACTCACAGGCTGATGTGTGATGATGTAGTTATAATAGAAAAACATCGAGCATATGTAAAGTAGGTATTCGCATTTTGTTGACTGATCTTTGTAAATGGATTTGGATTATGTAAAGGAACTTATATAAAACTGTCCCAAAGGGAAGTCTTCTAAATGTTTTGCGTTTCTTCAATGTAATACGGTATTAAATTGGAGAAGGAGAATGTTCTCATGAAATTATGAAACACAAATACCTTGTTTGATATGTGATTGTGAGGGGTTCGTGGGTCCCGTATAAACTCCGTTAACTGGATTTACTGTGTTCTGTAAGAAAACAATCATTTATTTTAATTTGTTTTTGTATTTCAATGACGTTTTAGTACTAACGAACTGATTCATTGGTAAGAGTTTATTAACAGTGGTATGTCGTGACACATATTTAATAAAAAAAATATGATTTTAATTATACATTTCTAAATTATAGTATCTCGCACACTTGCTTGTAGTTTTTTGTTTTATGCGATACCGCGACAAATGGACAGACGGATTACCTGATGGTAAGTAATCGGCGCCGCCCATGGTCACCCGTAACATCAGAGGATTTGCAAGTGTCTTGCCGGGCTTTTGGGGATAAGGGCGATAAGCATGGGGGAAAATATTGATTTTTTTTAATTTAACGTTCCTCCAAACTAAGGTTTGTGTGTCGCATGTGTGGTGGGGCGAGCAGCGGCGGGTGAAACCGTGCGAGAATAGCTAGTTGACTATAGAGTTGGAGAAGTGGCTGATGCATATCATGTCGCGGGTCAATAAATTGCACTGAACGGCTCTTTACGAGTATTTGATCAACAATTTGTTGTTTTGTTTGATGAAATCTGAATTTGTAAGTTTGTAAATGCACCCACGACACAATAGAAAGTCCTCATATGTGGGCATCGTCTTAAGGTATAGTAGTGTGTGAATGTGGGAGAGGCATTCTTCGGCACGAATAGGTCGGCTCGACCGCAGTGATACCACGGCCACACAGAAAACCGGCGTGAAACAACCACAGCGTTGTGTTTCGCCGTGTGAGTGAGGTTACCGGAGGACCAATCCTTCCCTTCCCCCAATCTCTCCTCAATTCCTAAATCTCCAAATCCCCAATCCCCAAAAGGTCGGTAACGCACTCATAACTCCTCTGTTGTTGCGGGTGTCCATGGGCGGCGCTGTTTGCTTACCATCAGGTAATCCGTCTGCGCGTTTGCCGACCTGTCACATAATAAAGTAAAAAAACATAATGTAATGTATGCAGCATTTTCGATAAATATTTGCTAACAACGTAACTCTATGAATTATTTTGGACCACTGGCTAGCGCGTAAGGTGTCGCGGCTTCGATTTCCGCACGGAACAATGCTTTGTATGATCCGCAAATTGTTGTTCCGGTTCTAGTAGTATGAGTGTATGAAATTGTATGTTTGTAAACGCATACGTATACGACACAGGAGAAAATCCTAGTGTGGTGCAAAGTTTTATTAAAAAGAGGAAATAAATTTTGATTAGCTTGTGAACTATGCATAGTAACATTATATAGGTATCATTGCTTATATAAATAGGTATATATTTATATAAAAAGAAACAAATTTTAACACCCGTCTGATGGTAAGTTGATACAGTTATTTTGCTTCGTGTACTCGATATTATTATTTTAATAAGGTCATCTATTGTCTCCGTGTTGTATAAGTATAATGTAATTAATAAAATAGTATTTACCTTAGCTATTTGTAGCAGAACAATGGAATGTTTTATATTGTCCAGCATGACCTGTAAAAAAATAAAAATAAGGTTAAATATAAATGGATGGAACAAAGTTAAATATATTTGTTGCAATAAAACCATATACAGATACTTTTGAAACGACATAATAGAATAGTAGCCGGTTAGCCTGTTCGTCAGTGAAGTTAGGTGCTAGTTCCAAAGTGTAGATTCGAATTGAGAAGACGGAGCAAGAAACTCCATCGTTACAAGTTTATATGTTTTCAATCTCAAAAACACACATATTCAACACACATTATTGTACACAAATGTGAGAAGCATGCAGAGATCGACCTTTGAAAAAAGGTGACGGTACCAATTCCTCAATTTACATGACAATAATATAATATCGATTTCGATCTTTTTTATTTACCTCAGAATACTAAAAAAGAATGGGTGTGATTTCTGGAGGCCTAATTTTGGCCCAACCCCTTAAATTTATTACTACCTACAAAAGATTGGCACTTGTACCCCGCCGTTGTGGATGTCTATCGGGCAGCGCTGATTGCTTACCATCAGGCGATCTTGTGGACGTTTACCGACCTACACCATAAAGAAAATTGTTTACACAGTGCAGAAATTTGTATTAAAAAAGTACACTAACAATAATAAATAAATACAAAAAACTGCAAGACGAAATTCCTTTCCTAATCTCTAGTGTTCTCTTTTCTATGTACATCATATTTAATTATATCGTGTATGTGTGCATAAATAAATAAAATATATATAAGATTTAACCCGTGGTATGCCGGAACGCGGATCCACGCGAGACACAATGTGTTTCATATTGTTTGTCATATACAGACAAGAGGTTAATGTTTACAATATATGTACTTAATTGATTATATAATATTGTTTGTATTAAATTATAATTTGTTATATTATCAACATAAGTTAATACTTACATTGGAATGGTCTAATATAACTTGGCCTTTATTCTTTTCGAGTGGATCAGCTAGCTCCGACACACGAATACTCATTTTCTGAAACAAATCAAATTACATAAATTGAATAAAATACTTCCCACAGATTAAAATAAAACAGTTGTTCACCGTACAATCGATAAAGTAAAGACAAGTGATGAATTTCTTATTAGAATTTCTGAAATTTAGTTTTGATATTATATACCGCAGGGAACAACTCTTTTTGATCACCGAATTGTTGTTCCGGGTCGAGGTTGCGATACTGTGTACAGATACACCTACTCCTACTCGTACATCAACAATTAGTAACTTAAATTAGGTACGTATAATTTCATAGGAATGTTTAAACTACGTAAAATATATATTTTATTATTTCGCCTTATATTAAACTCTCTATACTTATTTAAGAACAAGTTTATTTGTTCTAAGCATAATATTAATTAATAACGTTTTGTAAGAGCGGTGTCTCTCAATACGGGTTGTCTAAGTATGCTTAACGGGAGGCTTCAATCAAATGTTTTTAGCAAAAACGTTGCCTTGCGTTATGATTTTCTCCTATATCGTAGGTGCGTGTTCAAACATACAAATTCACACACACACACACAAACCACCCAAACCCGAAATAACAACTTGTGGATCGCACAAAGTGAAGTTTTGCGCGGGAATCGAACCCGCGAGACGTTGCACAGCAGCCAGTTGCCCAGCCACTACGCCAACCGTGCAGTCAAACAATTATTATGTACCATCCTTTATGAACTAATACATATTTTTCACTTTTAATTTTTTCATTTTATTTTCATGTTTTATAAGTTAACTTACAGAAACTAGGTCAATCATAATTTGTAGATAAGCGTCAGCCTCGGATATCCTCCTCTCCAAGTCTCCGTGCCTGTGTCTGGGCGCAGGCATGCACCGCGACCACCTCTCCCGCCGCCCGTGTCTGGCGATAGTATCCTCTAGCGCGCGCACCCATCTTTCTCTTTCTGAACCGTCTCTGGCCTGGAATTGTGGAAAGCATATAATTAGTTCAGGTTTTTAGCATTTGAATTTGTAGTTTTTATTATTGCAACCTTTATTTATCTTTATTTGCGTGAGAAGACGGATTACCTGATGGTAAGCAATCGGCACCGCCTATGGATACACTAGAGGAGTTACGAGTGCGTTGCCAACCTTTTGCGGATTGGGATTTCGGAGATTAAGGGATTTGGGGAGGGGGAAAAAAAATGTTTAGGGTTGTTTCACGCCGGTTTTCTATGAGACTCCGAATGAGTTGACCCATTCGTGCCAAAGCATATGGCTCACTCACATTTTAAACTTGTCTAGCCAGAGGTGATCTGCCTAGCGGCTGATTGCAGGATCCTCCTTTTCCGATCTTAGGGGTCTTTATGTTTCCTTTCACTTTGGCCCCCTTCGGGGATAAAGCTTAACTTTTAATTACAAAAGTACAATGCCCTTTATTTAACGAGGTCATTAACATAACTGATGAAAATTGGCTTAACTCTTAAAGATAGATGAACCTGCTATTTAAGTTATTAACAATTTGCACCCTATGCAAACGACACAAAGTAAAAATTCAAAAGTTACCTGGAAATGAAACGTCTTATGGTCTACGGTGATGGTGAAGGTGGAATCGTCTTCATCATCGATGCCTATGACGGCTGCCCTCAGCCGAACACAGCCTCTTCTAACTCCTCGGGTCATTTTCTCTTTAGACTGAAAAGAGATTAAAATGTATTGGTTAGTCTTGATTATTTAGGAAATCAAAATACCTTCGTGCAGTACAAGGTCTTGAAAGCAATTACAAACTATACCTGGAAGTCTAAAGTTGTACTATGGGGCTTAGGATTATGGAGATTAAGATTTCCATAACATCCACACACGGACATCTCAGTTTAACGATCGAAACAACGAACCTGATAATAACTACAAAATATGGCTCATGAATATGAGCCCCTAGCGTGGCTTGAGACTAGTCGAGTTATATCGGCAAACGCTTACGCACGGTAAGTCGGTTAATATAATGATCAATACAAAATCATTAATTGAGTGTCAGTCAAAAATCGTGATCGATTCAGAGATTTCGGCTAAGAACGGTTAAGATATTTCTAGAACGTCAAAATATTCGCAGCATACTTTGTCATGTGAAATGAGACAGTTACTAGCAACGTATGCAGAGTAATTTTAATAATTAAGTGTGTTTAATGATCAAAGCAGCGCAGTAGTGAATCGTGTGCGCGACGTTGTAGCAACGTGCACGCTGCTAATGAAAAACAGTTAGTATTTAGAGCTTTTCTCTGTCAATCCACATATGTAAATTTTGAATGTCTCAAGCTACTACACAAGATATGATCAAATCACTTTGAACATTTTGATTTCTGCGAACACATGGGACCGGGGTCCAAGTTTATGCAAGTATATCCTTAAATATAGATGAAATTCCTTCAAAATGAAAGTAAAAAAGGTTTAATAAAAAACAAAATCTTAACATACCACAAATCTTTTGGATTTTTTTTATTTATAATTGGCAGGGTTCTGGCCGCTATCATGCCTGATGATGCGATCTACGATGGAGTACGCTTATCTATATATATAATTACTGGTAACTATCGAGACCTGGCTTATTTGATACCTATAGGTATTAAAACGAAAACATTCCTTCCTTTATAACTTACAGAATAAACAGACATTAGCACACAAAGTCTTAGTATTTACATGGTAATGTATTGCAATGATAATTCAATACAGGTTCAAACTCCTTAGTGGAGGGAAGTGTCGCGCAGTGTGAACGTTATCATGGATAGCATCCGGAGAGCCTACGACATTGTGTTTTATGAGAGAGCAGGTATTTTAATATAACATTTTTTTTATATTGTTTATTCACCGCGGCTTTAGCCTAGCGCAGGACAAGGAACGGGGGAAGGGGAGTGGGAAGATTAGTCAGTAAGAGTCCCACCCTGGACGGGAGCATGATGAATATAAAACTTTCAGAAAAAATCTTGTCAATCACATGAATCTTGCATCAAAGTGTGTAATTCTATCTAAAATAATGTCACATTAATACATTAGTTAAAAAAAAACTTTCAGCCTTTTCTGCTGTATCGTTGGTGCGTTTACAAACATACAAATTCACATAAACAGGCCACTCAGGTCTAAAACAATAATTTGTGAACCCGCGGTACGTTTCACAGCAGTCAGTAACTCAGCCACTGTGCCAACCGCTGAGTCAATTAGTTTTAAATCGCCATTTCACTCTCCGTGTGAGAAAAGGCATTTGTTCAATATTGGGCACTTATAGGCTGATGAAATAGTTAAGTAAGTTAATTAAAAGCATGACAAGAATTAAAAATATTCTTCTTGGATGGTAGCAAGTGTCCGCGTTCTACGACCGACAATAATTGAGTATTGTTTAGGCCAAAACAGTAGGTATTTGGTGTAATTTTATGTGTTTCGGAAATATATATATATAAAAGAAAGTCGTGTTAGTTACTCCACTTATAACTCAAGAACGACTGAACCGATTTAGGTGAAAAGTGGCAGGGAGGTAGTTTAGAGCCAGGAGAAGGACTTAGGATAGGATAGAGTAGGTTAGGTAGAGTAGGGTAGGTAGAGTAGGGTAGGTAGAGTAGGGTAGGTAGAGTAGGGTAGGGTAGGTAGAGTAGGGTAGGTAGGGTTGGGAACTTGGGAGAGAAGGGTAGGTAGGGTAGGTAGAGTAGGGTAGGTAGGGTAGGTAGGGTAGGTAGGGTAGGTAGAGTAGGTAGAGTAGGGTAGGTGGTCAAATGACGGCATCGACGCCGCGGGGAAGAGCTAGGTTTCAATCATTGAGTCTAAAACTGTCCAGTCTTTGGCATCCATCTTTGAAATGTCTAATGACTTTAAAAGGAAATGTTCAGTCATATTATACTCGTACATACAGACATAAAACCTTTTTCAATCCATTAAACACCCATAACCGTCTTTTGAAGTCGTTACGTCGAGCGATGATACGCGAACATTACAGATCGTTACATTATTGCGAGGGAAATCTGTCATTTCACTAAATGGTACCGCATTTTTATACATAAATGTCAACCATCGCGATCGCTTTGTAAAAGTACCACAACAGCCGACTTTTAGTATCTACAATTATTACGATGTATGTGCATAGCTATGGCTTTTTTTGAAGCAGTCATCTCAGATTAGCGAATTCTCTTCAGCTTAGCAATAAATGGTATCCAAACAGAACGGGATGGTTTTTAGTCAATAAGGACCTGAAACTTCCTGTCGCTCCACCCAGGGCGTGAGAAGACATTTGATGATTTACGCCCCACAAAAGAAGAAAATGAAAACGCTAGCTGGCTGCTTATGTATAAGTCCCGTTGTGACTTGAAACAAGTAGAGATTTTTTCAATTCAATCACGCGAAGCGTTATTTTAAGTGTAGTAAATAAACTATTAAATACTTATATAATGAAAATATCACACGATTATGAAGTTCTCTCTTTTTGTAGGGTTAACGTGAGTAGGTCGTCTATATGTCTTCTGACAAATAGTTTCCCCATTGAAGAAAAGTATTCATACTTTATTGAACTGCCTGATACGATAGCAAAAAATGGCTGCCCTATTAGTATTCATACTAGTTCCCTCCATCGAGAAATAACAGACGATCAAAGTAGAAAAACTAAAGTTCCATTACTGGAGTCTCAGGGGCTCACAATAACGGGACATAATAACTTCAAATGTTTTCCGTGTCTACCCACAATCACGACAACACGATCGTTTATCTGCACATCAGAATATATAGCTTTTACCATCGCAACATGCTGGAAAATATTGACAGAAATCTAAAGTTCAAAAGTCGTATTTTGAAGGTAGAAAGAATAAAAATGTAAAATACGCGAATTCTAAAAAAAAACTTTTTTACAAAATTAACCCTTTAACTGCCAGTGCAAGTCCGTCTTTGTAGTGTGTTAAATAAATAATTAAATATATGAAACACAATAGACAAAAGCATTGTTGTTGTCTCGCTTGGATCCCTTTCTGGCGTACGAGGAGTAAATATTTTGAAGGACACAGGATTATTAGAAAATAGCTTCGCCGAATAGTGAAAACATAATTTGCGTACGTTTTCTTGAACAGAGACAAACACGTGCAGATAATCGCCTCTTTCTGTCGTTTTGTTCGGGGAGTATCCTCTTTCCAGCTGTAATTTTAGTTGTGTCATGTAACTGAATGGGATCCACGTGGGTGCCAAAATATAAAAGAAAGACCCCGCAATACTGATGAAGCTCATGCAAAAAGCCAGTTGAGATTTACAAGAGTGGGAGAGCCATGCTTCGGCATGATTGGGTCGGCTCCACGGCCTCACAGAAAACCCAAAACTTCACTCACATGGCGAAACAACCAGAACGATATATTTCGCCGTGTGGGTTAATTTAACGGAGGCCCAATCCTTCCCCTCCCCAATCCTTAAATCTCCGAAACCCTTATCCCCAGAAGGCCTGAAACGCACTCGTAACTGTTGTTGCGAGTGTCCATGCGGCTCTGATTGCTTACCATCAGGTAATCTATTTGGTCATTTGCCGACCTATCACATAAAAAACAACGAAAAATAAGATAAAGACCCCGCAATACTGATGTAGTTTGTGCAACAAGCCTACTGGGATTTATGACGGCTATTTCTTGTAGAAGCTGTGACTTATTTTTTTATTTCTGCTGTCTTTGTTTCAAGTTGATTTTCTGCTATAATCTTGTATCATATTATACTCCAAGACTTTAGTGTTGGACAAAATTAGTCACGATTTTAAGATGGCAAAACAAAGTAAATGGAACATATGGTGCAGCGAGATGCTGAAACAAGGAAATGTGCAATCATGTGTCGTTGGCCATTGCTTTTACTTTATTCTGTTATTTTACAAGTTTATTTGAAAAGAAACAACTATCAAGCACCATTGCCGTCACTTGGCAAGGCACAACTTGAAATGAGATTCAATACCTATTTGATCTAAATATTGTTATATTAATGTCTACAGCTGATTGTGCTTGATGGATGACACCTCTACTAAGGCTTTTGTTTTTTTTTTGGTTACAATGTAAGCAACACGTTTAAACTATCGATTTTTCTCTAACCTTCTTAGCATTTGCTACAACTAAACTACAACTAAAATATATTAACGTTTTCCTTGATTTCTATTCAACCTAACCTCTGACTTTAATCAATAAAATTCTCAAATCCTTGACCTCTTCAATCCTCAATACTGACATTCATGTCAGCAATTACAGCAGTCTTATCGCCATTAGAATCTAATCAGTCGACCACAATCGTTTTAAATTAGGTCTCCTTAGAGAACCTTCATTTAAAAACAATTCTGTTTCTAGGTTCCTTCAATCACGATGTAGCACTAAAGTGTTTCAAATTGATAGTAAATTAGCCTCACATCTGCGGTAACAAAAGACGAGACGGGCGGACATTATAACATTAATATCCTTTCACCTGAGTAACACTGTTGCAAAACCACGCTGAATATGATTTAATATTGCTTTGTTACGCCTGATGCAATGATAGTGGACGTTGCAGATTAATTTATGCTGATACTAATACTAACGGGAGTAAATCGTGCGTTTGCGCATCGACCGTATTGGGGTTCTTTAGGGGCTGATGAAAATCGATAAAGATTAATGGTTAGATAAAATTGTTGCTGTCACTGTCTTATACAAACATTCTGATGCGACAGCATCATAATTATTCTCAATTAACTTTTATCTAACCATAGAAAAATCAGCCTTAAAAGAAAGAAATAAGTATGACCACTATTTATTCCGTTAGTTAACGATAGTGAAAAAAATGTAGACGTGTATTTAAAGTTTTGGAGAAGCTAGTAGCTACGTCACTGTAAATTATGAAATATATTTAGTCGTGACTTCACACGATATTTCAAATCAATGTATCGTCTTAAGTACTTGATATCGTAATTAAACAAAATAACTTAAACGACATTGTTGTTGGTGCCAGTTGTGTTGGTAAAATACAACTGACACCAACAACTGAAGCAATTAATTCCGTTGCCACGTTAAGAAAACCATAAGAAAATTCAATGGAAAATCTGGAAAGCCTGGAAATCAGAGAGATAAAAAAAAGCAAAGTACTTTTGAAAAAATAAGCAAACCAAGTCTAAATAAATAAATGACGGAACCCCTCGACACTTGATATAATAAAGCTGCAATTTGCAGCATTACGAAATCTAGGTCAGGCAGACTGAAGTCATTTGGTACTTTAAAAAGTGAAATAGTTCTAAAATGTAGTTGATGTGTTTAAGAGATTAAATTGTTTGGTCTCTTCCTAGATATTGCGGTTAATTTAGTATGTGTAATATAATATGGTGATTGTTATACTTCTTTTAAACTTTTTCTGTTATTATTTTACGCTTCGCTGCTTCGTTGTTTCAGTGGTCGTGTAACTAGATTACAATGTAACTGATGACTCAGTCAAAAACTAATTATTTCTCAGAAGAAATCTATTGAAGTATCCTAAAACAAGCATACTTGATAAATTTGTAAATGTGAGTGCCCTGTAACCTATTATAATTGGTTAGACTAGCAGAATGTCGGTCCTTATAACAGCTTGGAGTTGTCATGCTCACTGAAAGGTCACACTGGCGGTGGCATGGGCGCTGGATCGCTTAATTCCCTATAATATGGTTATTTTGGAGTTGGGCGATGCTGGTGTACGTGTCATGCTCGTGAACGAGCGCCGTCAGTTGGGACTGGTCAGCTCCGGACTTTATATTGTCCTTAAGGTTACTTTATTTTTATATTTGAATAAATATTAGTGTTACACTGTTCTCACATAATTGAACCAACTGTTTGTAAAAGGAATCTGTATGTGAAACTGATTTAAAAAGAGTAACCATGGAGTTTCTTGCTCCTTCTTCTCCATCGGAATCTACATTTTGGAACGAGCAAATAGCTTCACTAAGAGGACTGACCGACAGACTGACACTATATCTTCAAAATTTTAGTTTGACGTTCAAAAGTGCCTGTAAAGGTCTAATTGGAATAAATGATTTTTTTGACTTTTGATACTTAAATTCACTTAGTTTAAGTATTATACTTCCCAATTTGAATGAAATAAGTATTGTATTTGAGGAATAACAGACATAGTTTTTGCCATATCCTGCTGAAACTATGAAAGTTTGTGAGAAAGTATGGATGTTTGTTTATTATTCTTTGACGCAAAAACGGCTGGACTGATTTGGTATGGAGATAGGCCATGCCCTGGATTAATACATAGACTGCTTTTTATCAATATACCAAGCGGGAAAAGCTGCGGGCGGAAGCTAGTTAGTAATACAATGCCCAACTAAAGAATACTTTCATCAGTTCCTTTTAACACCAGATTTCGGAAATAATTACAATCATCCAAATTAATAAACTCGAAGCGATAACACATCATTTGTAATAAGACATAACAAACAATTTTCTTTTACCTAAAATAAATAAAATTAATAATGAAAAGTAATAAAAAGGCAAAGATAAACAATTGATAATTGTAAACACATATCTAGTTGCTAATAGCATGATTTGAAACAAAAAACGAACAAAATGAAACAGGAAAGAGTGGTATGAAAGATATCATGTTTATCTTAATACTTTATTAAAGATAAGGCTTCAATTATATAGTTAGGCAATGCCTGAGACAATAAACTTCGTGACATTGTGACAGGAAGCTAAAAATATGGAAGTCGACAGTTTACACGCGAGACGATTCCGTGGGAAACGCGATACACAAAGAATAATATCTTCTATGCTGGTCCATTAAAGAACAACGATGTTTGTCTGTTATAGTTTCTCACATCAAAGGGAATATAATACTGATATGATACAGAAATGGTATACAAGAATAACTTGTCCTTTGTATCCTAAAGGTCAAGGTCAAAAATTACTTTATTTCAAACATTCATTGTAACAAAACTGTGTAGCTGATAATGTATACTGAGAATTTTAACTTTATATACAGTTTAAATAACAATACCATTTCAAAAACTGTTGAAAAATTCAGCTGGGTGCAGTTTGTTGTTTCCACTGGCTAATCAAGGATTCTAGGATATACAACATATAGGTAGGTAATTACGCGGGTATTAACGCGAAAAGTAATAATTAAAATACCTTGGAAGGCTTGACGTTTCTACCTGGTTGGACAGGTCGTGGTCGCAAGCAGACTCTAGGATATATTTAGAAGAGATCTACTATTATAATTCGTGTAACTTCTTGTAGCTAATATCATGTAGGTACTAGGTACTTCCAAGCGGCTTCATTTAGATATAAGCCGGGTAAGCAATTTAAAAAAAAACAGCTTTATATAATTCTCGCATAGGTAGATTCAATGTGAAATCCTTTGTACTTGATACTACTCAAACAAATGAAGCAGTCATTTCTAATTGAATGAACGAGACTAATTAGATTATCTAATACATAATGTATACCAAATCATTAGTTCGTAAGAATAAGTATGTGTTGCATATCGATGATATCTTTAATAATAAAGCATACTACATGCAAACAAGATAGTTGTCAGTTATGTGTCAGTCAGATCCTTAAACTAACAATACAATTCAATGATTGCACAAATAGATACATTCGAGTGGAGTGCTAACAAAGATGTGTGAATGATTTGCATGTCTAGTTATAAATATCATAGCAAAGTAACATAAAGGATTTTTTATGTCATTGGTAGTCAAACGAGAAGGCGGAACCGACGTAGGTATCGCTTCACGCCAGTTTTCAGTGAGGCCGTGGTATCACTCCGGTCGAGCCCACCCTTTCGTGTAGAAGAATGGCAAGCAACTAATGGAAAATACCTTTATGCCAGTTAGATTATTAACCCTATCAAACAAAAGCCATCTTTCTGCTTGGCACAAATTCAATCTCTAAATCAATTATCTACTGAGAATTACAAAAAAAATCGATAAACCCAATAATACCTTCGTCAATCTGATAATCCACTCTGAGACCCCTTTCGAGACTCGGCAATCAGGCCTTTGTCCACTAGATACGAGCAGCGGAATTTTTGTAATCATTTTTAATATAATCATTTTCATCTTCCCAGATCACAGAGTCAAAGATTGGGCCCTGATGACATCACCGAAGCCCCTGGCTGCAATTATAGTGACATATCTGGTCACCATAAAGTTGATTCTACCAGCTTACATGAGGAACAGAAGGCCGTATGAACTAAGGAGTCTTATCAAGTGGTACAATGTCTTGCAGATCATCTCCAACGCTGTTGTCACTTGGGGGGTGAGTAACCTTTTATTTATTAATGAAGCAAGAAACTAAGAGACCAATCGAGTGGAAAATTTATGCAAGCCATAATTATACATGAAAAAGAAAACGTTAGACTACACTAGGAATATATTTTATGTCATGGATGCATTTACAGACATACAATTTTACACACATCTGTAACACCCAGTTTCAACAACAATTTGTTGATCACAGAAACATTTCCATGCGCGGATCCAAACAGCGATACTGTACTGTACATTGAATGTAAAAATATGCATAATCGTATTATATACGAGTACAACGATGAAAGTTCAAAGACCGATAAGATGATAAGTCTAATATCTATTGTTTCTTTCGCGGATTCATTTTCGAGCACGATCAAAATTACTACTTGCTGTCTAGCCGTATGGACAGTATTGGTATTGACATGCTATGTTCCGAGTGTTTGTGGTTAGTTTTTAGTCTACCAGGTGAAGCTATGGGTGATTCTGAAGGTTCGAATTACTATGTAGATTTACAATAACTCCTTAGTTACTTTGTGCAGGTGTGTTTTCGAATTGATGTTTGAGTCAAACTTACAACAAATCTTACTTGCACAAAATTTGATATTTTTAGAACGGTCAGTTTTATCTGTCAATAGAAGATTGAGAGATAAAACAATCAATCGATTCAATCGATCAATAAAAGAAGTCAATTAAGAAGATAATTTGCATAGTCCATGCAGATGTTCTTTAAAATCATTGTCTTTATATAGAATCATTATCAGATAACAAGAAATGCGTCATTTTGCGAAAAGCGCAACGTCACTTGCGTTATCATTGTAAACCTGTCTCACAATTTGCGAAGCGATACTTTTATTGTTATAAAATTATCGGGTGATTCTCGCTCTAGACATTGATTGGTAAATACAACAATACGGTCATAAATGTTGTTTGAATCGTGACTATATGTAGAGCTATTTATATTTATTATTATTACCTGCATTGGAGCATTTACATATGTATTACGTCCTAGAAAATATAGATCCAGAAAATTATACGTCTTCTTTTTCCTTATAAGATATTCCTGGAAAGGAATCGAGATGGCAGCGACGATTATGACGGACCTTATTTTCGAGTTCGGATGGCATTCGGATCGTACTAGTAGAACTAGTACTAGAAAGCGCTCATAAGTAGCAGAGGCAATAGACAATCGACAATCAGCCACGAATTTGTAGTGTAAATGAAAACAAACTGAGAACCCTGAACCAACGTACTGGTTCTCCAAAATAACACCGAATTTTCAAGGCATAAGATCTATACCTAATATCACTCACGGAATTTGTCAAACACACATAAAACAATGTTTCATTTTGAGTCTCAATTTGTCAACGAGATAATGTATAAACATAATAATAATTACGTTCAAAAACACTACCACAATTTCGTGAGAAAGTAGGAAGTAGCTAACACATACACAATAATATACACATTATAGGTATACAATTGCGATGAGTCCACACGTGTGTGTCACACCGGATATTCCCGCCCGGCCCGTGTTACGAACGGGTCACCCAGTGTCAATTTGATCAATTTCATACCGCCCAGCTCGAGTAGGGTGTCCGTAAATGTAATTTAAATTATTTTCCACGATTTGTTTTGTATTTTGCAATTACGACTATGGTCTAGTGTTCTAGATGAGTGAAATGTATCACTGATAGAAGGTAAATATAAACATTTGAAAAGTGCCAGAGTGGTGTTTACTCGAAATAAAAGCTGTTGATAAGCACAGAGATCGCTGAAAGACGCCATTTAACTTTTTTTAACAGGATTTTCTCCAATGTCGTGGGTGCGTTTTATAAACATACACATCACTCCCAGACCCCCAACAACAATTTGTAGATCAAACAAATAGTTGTTCCGTGCGAGAATCGAACAGTGCAGTCTAGATTATAGTCAAAACAAATATAAAAGTTAAACAATTTTTTGTCTCTCCAGAATACTATATATACACTTCGAAAGTCAGGATGTAGGCATACAAAAATAAAAACAAGGCAGACGTGGTCGGGGGCACAGCTACTACGTTAGATGAAAGGATTGTCCATTCTTCTATTGTTTGCCCATTTTCGCCGAGATGAAAAGTGATCGCTATTGTGCGTCAGTCACGCTGTAAAAACGTTTGTATTTGAATAATTTTTGTTCATTGTGTATAGTTAAGCTGGGTCAATTTATCCTGGAATTAAGGCTTGAAAAGCTGAATAATGTTATACATTTTATTGCTATATTTTTAACGGCGTTTGTATTTTGAAGGTTTTAATTAAAAGATGTAAATTGAACTACTGTTTTACTGGTAAACAGCCTGACAGTTTACCTATTAAACCACAGCTTAAAGCTTTATCACGTTGGCTAGAGCAAATTGACTAACGCGGTAGATACATTTTAAACCATCTAATAAACAAACAATTAAGTATAAATGTATAATAATGCGCAATAAAGCGCAAACCATAGATAAATTTGACTGCACGGTTGGCACAGTGGCTGGGCAACTGGCTCCTGTGCAGCGTGTCGCGGGTTCGATTCTCGCACGGAACAACACTTTGTGTGATCCACAAATTGTGGTTTCGGGTCTGGGTGCGCTGTCTATGTGAACTTGTATGTTTGTAAACGTACCCACGACACAGGAGAAAATCCTAGTGAGGGGCAACTTTTTTGTAAGCGCAGTTGCTTTTCCCGCGCGAGGCCGAGGCCGCGGACCCTATAAGGAACGGAGTGATTTTTAGTCAGGACATCATCATCATCATCTCTTCATCTCCCCCAAGGACTAGAGAAGTTAGTGACGATTTTCACACCTAAAAAAACAAAAGTCTTTCAAAATTAAATAACAGCAAAAATAGGAGTACATATATTAATATCCCGCGTCTTCACAACGCATGGTAATACTAGCGTCTTGGCAGTAGAATCACAATGCGATGATTGATATGATTGTATGATACAATACTATTACAGTACCATACACTATCATCTGTTCTAACGTGTTTATTCAATTACAGATTAATGCACTTATGACATGACCGAGTTATTATTTTTTTGTTCTTGCTAGTATATGAGATAATTCTTTTAAAAAAGTACCATTCTTTTCTAAATTTGAAAAATCATCATATTTTTTTCTCTAACTCTACGTGAGGCGAAAAGGAGTGCCAGAATTCTACTGGGCAAAATCTATCTCGTTCCGTCTTCTGCGCCAAGCCGGGTAGCCGTGGGCATATGCATATTATGTATTTTAAACGGGTCGAGTTATATGAAGTTTTTTAACATCAAAAAAACAAATATATATATATTTACTGCCTTATAAATATGTATTATAACGAATGTATATGTATGTAAGGTGTATCATATATATTTTTATATATATGTTTGGTATATTTAATTCAATTTCCTTGCTTCTTGCACCTGCCACCAGATTATCTCTGCATCACCCAAAGGTAGACTGGTAGAGAATGCTCATTGCATTAAGTCCGCCTATGTACAGTGTTTTGTGCATGAAATCTCAAATAAATAAATAAATATATGCATACAGCATAATTTATGTCGAAGAATTCATCAAAATAATGTTTTTTTTTTGTGCCACGTAAACATTCATTTATGGTGTGAAATAGGACAAACGAGGAGGCAGATCACATGATGCAAAACCACCACACGTGGACACCAGATTAGTTACAGTAGCAGAGTTGCAGAGTATGCTGCGGGTCTTTTGGGTTTTTTATGGATTGGAGATGAACGGAAAACCATCGTTTTATGTAAGACCGGAGCGACACCACCTCCGGTCGACCCTAGTTGCTCCGAAGCATGGCTCTCTTTTGCACTTAAAACTGGCAAAAAGTAGATGTAATGCGTACACTTCAGCTGATTCAAAAAAAAAAAAAATAGCAGAAACGATGTAATAAAAATGTAATCTAAGTATCTTACAATTTTATAGCTTTACTAAATTTATTTCTTGAACATCACATAAACGGGTCGTGAAGCTCATATTTTTTTATTTGTTATCTTTAAAAATTTAAAATAAACAACAAAACTGAAATTTGGCAGAAATCGCATGTTCACCTGTCTAATAAATATTTTGTTATGGATCTATATCCATTGATACACTGATTTAGATGTTTTAAAGTATGTTTTTAAGAAAAAATATTGTAAAAGAGAAACTGGCAATAATTTAAAGACAATTTCATCATCATCATCATCATCATCATCATCATCATCATCATCATCATCAGCCTATAAGTGCCCACTGCTGAGCAAAGGCCTCTTTTCATACGGAGAAGGTTAGAGCATTGATCGCCACGCTTGCTCAATGCGGGTTGGCGATTTCAAACTTATAATTAGAAATTATAAGTCCAGGTTTCCTCACGATGTTTACCTTTGTCAGTGCTGTCTAAATAATCATAGAAAGTACATATAACTCTGAAACTGTCACATTGGTACTTGCCAGGTTTCGAACCCAGACCCTCATGCATGAGAAGCGGGCTCCTTAATATCCGGGACACCACGACACGTCCACCAAAGACTATTCAAATTACAATATTTACACTTCAATTTATGTGATAAGTTGAGATTGTACTGTACTTCTTTCAACTGTGAGAAATCGAATTATTTCACTTCTACATAAAAATCGCTAAGTTTCTTGGCCTATCATAAGAATTACATTAAACATATAATTAATCGTATTTATTACCCGTTGAATTTAACATGGCGTGACACTAGAAATTCCAATGAAATTAACTTAAAATCTTACGACTTATGAGATGAAACGGGTTATGGAGTTGAAGCCACACCCGTACTTTCATTCAACAGAATGCTTGGTGGCACTTAAAACTGCGGGCGGTAACGCGCTGCGTGTATTTCAAATTTTTGAATTTATTATATTGCATGGGTTGGTCAAGTGATTGTAAAAATGTGTCAAGTTTAAGGTTTTTGAATTTCAATTTTAAAGTTCGCCGATATAGTGAGGAAACATTAAATTATAATTTCTAATTAAAAGTTTGAAATTGCCAATCTACCTTGTTTGTGCGTGTTAACAAATTCTCAGACCTTCTTCGTGTGAGAAGAGGCCTTTGCTCAGCAGCGAACACTTATAGGCTGATGATATGATGAGAGGCCTTAGGCTACTTATATCATTACGACAATTACCGTGAAAATGTAATAAAGAAACACTGTTTCCTTAAGCGAACAGCAAGACAGTAAGTTACATGTGAATATTTGATGTATTTTCTCCACAAGATGTTTTTAGGAGGGACCGTAAATAAAAAAGTACTCAGAGCGTTAGAGCAAACGAGTATTTTAACTTAGATAAAGTTTTATAAGAGTTACGTGACTGTGGATACATATGTATTCAGATGTCAGTGACAGAAACTCTTTGGTTAACAGTGGTTAAAGATAATAATCAAATGTCAGAAGTCTACGAAAACAAATTACCAAAACAGAAGTCATTTGTTTTTCATAAAACATTTCTCCGAATGTAAAAATACGAGAATTTTATCTGAATGTTTCAACTGTTTGCTTTTTAGCGCCATTGACCCAATTTTTTGTTATCTCCCTCGCTCCAATTGCACATGTACAAAAACGCTGCTTTCGCGGCCCGTAATCGCGCTTGCCCATCAATAGATTAGTCATAATAATGAGTCATATAGAGCGGTTGAGAAGGTGGGGACGTCTAACGCATTATGTATCCTTATTTTATACTATAATATTATTCAAACAAGCTGAGCGACAAGAACAGAAATTAAAGAAAGAAAAGAAATTTTACAAACTTGGATTAAAAATGAAATAGTAAATAAGTCATTTACCGAGGCAAAAACATCAACCAACGACCAAAAGGAGCCTAGCGGTAGTAGCCAGTGAAGTTATAAAGGTACCATTATCTAGCGTCTATTTCATGGACGAATAAAACTAAATATTTACAAGAATACCCAAAGGGATCTCTGATAATACAATTCGAACAAACATCGTTACCAAATACATAATCCCACAACCTACATCAATTTCAAATATTGATAAATGAAAATATAATATTAGAAGGAAACAATACACTGGACAGGGACGGGTCGTCAGTTGACTAAACCCTTTAACAACTATTCAAAACTTGTCTTTGTTCGTATTGGCAAACTCATAAATTGGCCCCTTTATGAAATTCTATTATTGTATTAATAAATTTACAATCGGACTGTTAGCGTTTACTGGTTAGACAGGTATGTAGGCTGAATCACATGTAAATTGATTCAGCAGTTTATAGTCTTCAAATTTCTTTTTACTGCATTCTTATATCTTCTTTGACTTTTTTTTTTATTTTATAAGTCGGCAAACGAGCTGACGGATTACCGGATGGTAAGCAATCAACGCCGCCCATGGACACCCGCAACGGAGGAGTTACGAGTGCGTTGCCGACCTTTTAGGGATTAGGGATTTGGAGATTTAGGGATTGGGGAAGGGTCCGGGAAGGGGAAGGATTGGCTGTCATTTATATATCCAAACAAAATTTTCGCCAACTTTTCTGAGGGGAGGAGAAATCATCCAATCACGTTTTCCCTGGTTGAGACTACAGCTGGTGTCAGACTCTTAATAACTCGAAACAACTTCGTTTGGTCTGCTGTTTGGGACAGAGTCTGACGGATTACCTGATGATAAGCAATCGGCCAATGGATACTTTGCAAGGAGCGTTGCCAGCCTTTGGGGATTATTAGAGTTTATTCATCAAACTGAACATTAACATAATAAGCTTTAGAAAATTTGAAAACGATGTGTATGTATCACATCATTATATGAATACTTAATAGGCCACAAATAAAAATACAAATATACAAAATATTCAACAGGTCGATTTAAAATCTAAGACCGCAGTAACTTTATTTGAGTCTCCTAAATAAATTGTATTTGCTCAGACGGGCGAGGACTAAACAAAACAATGTATTTATGTTCGCAATGTCTCGAGAGAATATTCCTTGCAGCTGACTGGAACAAATGGGGGCACTAATTACCGGCCACTTGGAACGTGGCTTCAAGATACTTAATGGGAAATACTAGCTAGACTTTTTCTTTGAAGTCATTTAGGTCTAAGTTCAGATAGCAAGACCATATGCACTTATTGTAGATTTTTTTGTGTAAGAACTTGTTATGATTACAATTAAATATGTATCTACTATAAATATTGACTTATTCATAACTACATAGCGTGGGAGGGTCATGCTTCGGCACGAATGGGTCGGCACGCATCGTGTGGTAACTACGCGCTCTCGGAAAACCGGCGTGAAACAACCATACTGTTGAGTTTCGCCGTGTGAATAAAGTTACCGGAGACCAAGTCCTTCGTTTTACGTCTAGTATTGACAAATTTAGTATAGGCTTCCTACTTTGTACCTACCGATAGCATATTATGACCTAAACGAACAATGTTATACCCGAATAGCTGCAATCCGAACCGACTAAAAGCGAGCTTTATTTAAAAAGTTATAAAAGCCACAATTCAATAAATATTAGCCAACGGCTGCGACAAAATCGATCCGACCCCCACTTCCCTCTTTCCCGATACAACACAAATGTAAACGCTTACAAATTATATTACTTATACTGCTATAGGTAATAATAATATTACGAAATATATTTTTAAATGTTTTTTATTATTTATTTTTAAGAAATATTTAAAAATGTAATTTATATGTTTATATGCTGAATAAAAAATATTACGAGAGAATTAACTTCATGCTTCTTTCAGCAAAAATTAATATCTACACATACATAAGTAAGGGCTGTCAAACGCAATACCTAGGTAGGATCATAAGGTTGTACTTTTTTTTTAATGGGACAGTTCCCTACGAAACTCTGCAAGTCCTGTCATGCGTGCAGCCAGGATCCACGATAGACACAACCAAAAAAACACCGAATAAACTATCTTATTTTATTTTATCCCGCAACGTAATAATTTTGAGATATATTTAAAGAGTAGATAAAATTAAATAGTTTCTACAATAGGTTATAAGGTTGTGCACAATATTTTAGGGATATATGAGTCCAGAATTTTAAAAATGGAACGTTAGATTAATCGTTTCAAAAAAAAACAACGAACCTTTAATAAAACCGACCTGTCTGGTTTTGGCATCCATTTATTTTGGGCAAATAATTCTCTGAGATCATTAGTCAAGTATGGCCTGAGTGCCAACATTGACTCAGCAGAGACCCTCATTGAAGAACCCGCACTTCATGTGTTAAATGTACACGCATTAATCATTGAAGCCGACCCAAACTCTGGTAAGGAGCTCTTTACGAATTTCCAATTCAATGGTGGTTTCAGTCGAATCGCAGCCCTAGGTACTATAGTTAATTTTCCATTATCCACGAAGGTATTAAGTCAAATACAATATCGTCTCTCTACGGTAATCCATCAACATTAAAAATAATCTACAACTTATGATTTTAGGATAATGAGAAACATTAGATATTGCTTATTTTGTTCTCTGTGTTGCCATCTAAAATAAATATTCATTAATTCTTATAAATATTACAGGCTAAAGTATCTGCCTTGCATTATGAAGCTGAAGAGTACTTTTGATCATGATCTTATTTGCATCTTAATTACCATTTGATAGCCTATCAAGTTACATTTTTATATATTTGTTTAATTAATGTTTTACGCACATAGATTTTTTATGTATGTTGAAATACCATATATAATTAACATAGGTACACATTTAATTGTAGTCCAATTAATTTTGGAAATAAGGTACGCTAATAAAACCATGGAATAGAGCTTGGACTTCACACTATATTTTTCGTCTGAATATTAATTACTAACTAGTTAACTACCATATCCCAAGACCTTTAATGATTTCTTAAACTCTTCATTAGTAACCATTTTATTCCGAAACCAATTGGAAAATCAACCAATCTAAGGGCATAGTAAAGTAACCTTTAACTGTCAATTACGGTGGTAAGCCTTTATTACCCGACTGCCAAAGAAGGAGGGTAATGTTTTTCGAGTGTATGTAAGTATGTATGTATGTCTTTTCCTTTGTGACCTCCTGTAGCCTAAACGGCTTGATGGATTTTGATGTATGAGGTATCGTTAGATTTGTCTTGATTACGAGAGTGTCATAGGATACATTTTATCCTAAAAGTCCCACGGGATAAAGACATAATAATATTTTTTCTAAATTTCCCTTTAAAAAAATATGTATGCGGTATCATTAGATTCATTTCAATCACGGGAGTAATTAATATAGGATACGTTTTTTCTCAAAATTCCCACGGGAACATGTTAATTCTGCGTCAACGCAAAGCAACTCATGCGTTAGCAAGCAAAAAGATAGGGCGTGGCCTGGCATGCGGCGCGCGGCGCGGTAAACAGCTAAAAAGTTATAAATAAAAAAATTATTATTAAAAAAACAAAATACCCGACTGCACACTAAAAAAAGAGTAAAACAAGCCCCACAATACAAATTTACTGAATATAATTTATAAATGTTGATGGAAAGCATCGCAGGCGGGGACCACCTTGACCGCCACCAACGAAAATTCTGCTAAATGGTGCACAACAGAAATGACTATAAATAAGCCTCTGTTGGTCCCCGCCTGCGATGCTTTCCATCAACATTTATAAATTATATTCAGTAAATTTGTATTGTGGGGCTTGTTTTACTCTTTTTTTAGTGTGCAGTCGGGTATTTTGTTTTTTTAATAATAATTTTTTTATTTTCTTTGTGAAACTTCAGTTCCTTCATATACCAACATTTCAAATGTTCCACGTTGTTTTCAGATAATGACTTCAGGGTGGACGACCACATATCACTTCGGCTGTATGCTACCAGATTACTCTATGAACCCAGAGGCATTAAGAATGCTTAGGTTTCTCTGGTGGACTATCATGCTGAAGCTCTTGGAGTTATTCGAGACTGCCTTCTTCATACTGCGAAAAAAGGACCGACAAGCTTCCTTTCTCCACGTGTACCATCATGTCAGCACTCTGATCATCGTGTGGTCTGCTTTGAAATATGTTGGGGGTAAGTATATTTTTTTCAAAATAATACATACATTGCCTGGTGAAACTATCCTTAAAATCTCAAATTTATTGAGATTTCTATTAGTTTAATACTTTACACTTGTACAAATACATGAGGGCTTGTATGTAATAGGAACTGATGTTATAACTTCACATCTTTTCTTTCGACTTTGTTTTTTGGGAAGCAATGTCATTAAAACCTCACTCACCCTGTAAACTTTTATGGGCAACAATAGTCGTGACCAACGGTCAATAGACCAATCAGTAGGAGTGGAAACCGGTGCACTTTTACTAGCAATTACACGAAGAGAACACACCATTCAATATTTTACGACAAACATCAGTAATTCACTTGCCATGATATCATTCAACATCTAGCAAACATTGGGGACGAGAACCAAACGAGGAACGATTCATATTATTAGGACAAACATATAATCCAATAAAGTGACGTCATTATATCACAAAGAAAGTATATTTGACGGATGACGTCACGCTCATGATCCCTACATTCAGAGATCTACGCCATTTATGTGCGGATATATCATTGAGAAAAGTAAAGTATAACATCTCAAAAATATAGGTCTTATGCCCAAAAGTCTATGTACACAGAAATCCTTTCGTGATGAAAAGACAAACAAGCAATCAGCGTGTGAATAGTTGGATCTACCGGAAGAACAAATATGTCTTCACAAAACAAACATATCCCTGATTGAGCGTGAGTGGAAATCCAATTTTCCGCTACAAACGCTGGAATCATAAAATAGACTATAATATTGTTATGAGTTCTCTTCAAGCGATGGACAAGATCTGATGTAGGTACAGATGGTATTTATTGAATAATATTCATCAATTTCCATTCTATGGAAATTTTAGTAGTTTTTGTGCTAAACTATAATTTGAAGGTTCTTAATAAAACTTAGATAATATATTTCCGGAACTTTCTAGTAACAAGAAGTTTTAGTTGGTCTCAGAAAAACTATTTAAAAATTGTATCAAATAGTTATCGATTTATTCCTTCAATAACGTAATCATCATCATCAGCCTGTTGTGGTCCACTGCTGGACATAGCTCTCCCCAATTGTACGCCACTGAGCTCGATGTTCAGCTCTTCTCATCCAACCACTGCCATAACGTAATAAGCACGACAAAATAAAGTTCAAAATATCTACCACTTTAATCAACAAGCATGACGAAACAACTTAAAAGGTTACTTTCGAGATCACCGCAGAACACAAGAAGGTTGCCTGTCTTACATTGGCTCACTCAAAAACGCGTCAGTGCCCATTACCCATGAGAATTAACACTAAACGTGTATGTTACGAAAAAATAAACGACTATTTACATTGTAAATATATTATTTAACCGTTTTATTTACGTATCGCGTGTACACAGGTCGTTTGACGGAACAGTACGGGTGAACCAATTCCATCAGGTGATTTTCGCAAATTCGCCGTCAACGCTTGGAAAAAAAATCGCATGCAAGAATAAATTGCATGAAGACGTTTGGGGTTATTAAGGTCAATGCTGTTATAGCACTACACTTATTTATCATTTAATGATAAAGATGTGCAAAGTAGCATTTCTTGCTAGTAGCAAATTCGGCTAGAAAAGATCATGTTGTACATTTTTTTAATTGTTCATGAAAACACCGAAACTATTAAGTACACTGAAATCCGGCGAAAATTTGAGGAAAAGAAAAATCTTAATACGAATTATGTGAAAATAACAAATATATGCAAGTATTAAAAAAAATTTTTTGCTAAGAATAGGCGATACTTTATTCACCTGAACCTGATAATAAATTAATAATGAACCACAGACTACTTCATAATCAAATTCTTTTCCTAAGGAACGCATTGCCATTTCCATTCAATAAATTACAATAAACTCGACTACAATTGGACTAACTAACCAATAAATAGGCAATTACAAATAAAACAACTATTTAATTGGACTAAAGAAATACCATTAATTGTATCAGCGGGGTTCCTATTGAAGAAGATACTGGTACAATACAATTGCAATGCTGACTTTGTTTCGCTATTTTAATGAAATCATACTTTATAACCATAATAATAGAATCCAGTTCAAAATAAACGTTGCGAAATGAGAGTGACTTAAATCGTCGTAAAACGTGGAAATGGCATTTTTACGATAACTTCCATTCAACCATTTTTAATCGCTCGTAAAGTCAGATGTCGCGCCGCTCGATTTAGCTAGGGGTGGCTAATGTTATCCTATTGTAGTGATTTTTTAGAAAACTGAAAAGTAAATACTGATGTTTAAGGTTTTTATGACAGGACAAGACTTCCAGATATATATGCTTTAACAAGAGCCAGTCTCGTCTCAATAGTTAGCTAATAGGTATTTAAAATAAAAAAGGGAGCTATAATTGCGAAAAATGGGCACGCAAGTTAATAAAACGGTTACACACAGAACACTCTCAAAGTCCTAAAAACTCACATTAAACATGCAAAGCTATTAAAACATTGTCAACCCTAGTCACGGATTTACCATAAAATATTTTGCGTTCAAAATTTAAGCTTTATTGGGCTACATTTTGCTTTTTGGGAGTCTCGATCCATTTTACATTTTTTTTTATAACTTTGCCCCACAGTAGGATTTTCTCCTGGGTCGTGGGTGCGTTTACACATAAAATTTCACATACACATCACACCCAGACCCGGAACAACAATCTGCGGATCACACAAAGAGTTGTTCCGTGCGGGAATCGAACCCGCGACACGTTGCGCAGCAGCAGCCAGTTGCCCAGCCACAGCGCTAACCTTACAGTACTACACTGTTTTCATAATAGCAACTAAGTGAGCAGATAAAACACTAAACAATATTTTTAAGGAGTAAGGCGACAAGCAGCTTGTAGATCACCTGATCATAATTAATCAGCCTCTCCTATTGACATCCGCAACACCAGTGGACATACTGGTGCGTTGCTGGCTATAGACGGAGTTGGTTGGGACCTCGGTAACCTCACTTACACCAAAAAAAACAAGCAAGCGTTACTTCACGCTGGTCGCGTCTAGTCGTAACAAAGCATGGCCCTCCCACGTAAATCAATAAAACTGATAGAATTTCATTGATACATCTATTTTTATGATTGATATACGACCTCCATACGTCAGATTTTAGGATTTAAGATTAATTTAGGACCGGGTATTGGTAACCTAAGACTTAAGCATAATGTACCTTGTTTAAAATTCGATTAAGTAAGATCCTTAGGCAGAGATAGAAGCATTATATCAGTCTATTGACAGTTAGTTGTCTTAAACGAATATCAAAAACAAATAACGGGAAACAAAAAATAGTTTTTTTTTAGAACATTTTCAAATTTATTTCGGGTTTAAACTTCTTTTATCTCAAGTGAAGTTTAAACTAGAATGGAATTTCGAAACTTTGGAATATTCCAGAAGTATTTAACGTGAATACTTGCGGTGAGGTCGGCAACATAAAATTTAGTATCCACAAGTGCCTAAAAGCTTGGCTAAGCAGATTCGCTTTTCTCTACAGACTCGGCAACGTTCCAAGCCACATCCGTGCTGGCTTAGGTTAAAATATGTGAAATAAACTTTAATATTAAATTACGCGAGGTTGTGTCTTATGTAAGAGATAATAATAATGCATGGCCTACAGCTTCTGTCAGCGAGATCGCCTGCAGTACCGGGTAACAAGTAGCCTATATGTTATTCCAAATTCTATCATCATCATCATCAGCCTATAAGTGCCCACTGCTGAGCAAAGGCCTCTTCTCACACGGAGAAGGTTTGAGCATTAATCAAAACGCTTGCTCAATGCGGGTTGGCGATTTCAAACTTATAATTAGAAATTATAAGTCTAGGTTTCCTCACGATGTTATCCTTCACCGTATATCAGTAATGTCTAAATAATCATAGAAAGTACATATACTGGTACTTGCCAGGTTTCGAACCCACGCCCTCATTCATGAGAAGCGGGCGCCTTATTCTCGGGGCTACCACGACCACCACATTCTATATCTATATCAAATCTCCAATGGATAATAATCAGTTTGGTTCATTTTACGTGAAAAAGTAACAAACATTCATCAATATATCCATCCATACATACATACAAACTTCCACGTTTATCAGATTCGCCTGGCCCCCCGGCTTGTGGGTCCGTTCTGAAATAGTGTTTCCAAAACTTCATAAAACCACAAGAATAAGGTCCATTGGAACTAAATAACTTTTTGTTATATGATGTCATGTCTTTGTTCATCACTATTGAGTATTGATAGAAAAGTTTTAAGTTGTTGAACTTGTCTATCTATACTAATATTATAAAGAGGTAAATAATATTATAAAGAGGTAAAATTGCAAAATGTTTGTATGTAGGGGGTAATCTTTTGAACCGGTGGACGGATTGCCAAAATTCTTTCACTGATAGATAGCTACAATGTTCGCAATCAAATGGAGCTGAGAAGCGGGTGAAACCGCGCGAGAGTAGCTAGTACCTACTAATATTATAAAGAGGTAAAATTTGTAAGTTTGTATGTAGGGGGTAATCTTTGGAACCGCTGGTACTTGGTCGGATTTGCCAAAATTCTTTCACTGATAGATAGCTACGATGTTCCTGGTTGCTACGGGCTATAAAATATCACGCTACGATCAAATGGAGCCGAGCAGCGGGTTAAACCGGGCGAGAGTTGCTAGTTGTTAATAAGGTATAGGTATAACCACTATTGCTTATTGAACATGGCTCAGTCAGGGTTGCGAGTCAAGCGCCCCCGTAGCCCCGACTTGGAGCAGTAGAAGGACCGGGGTTGTTTTTACTCAGCAAAAGTCTAACACTCTTTTTCGCACCACTCAGAACGAGTCAAAGTCAAAGTCAAAATCATTTATTCCAACTAAACCATAAATAGGTACTTTTGAAACGTTAAAATAGAGAAGTAGTCTGTCAGTCTGTTCGTCAGTGAAGCTAGGTGCTCATTCCAAATTGTAGATTAATAACGAGTAATGAGATATG